TGTGTGTGTGTGTGTGTGTGTGTGTGTGTGTGGCCGGCTCAGCCCACCAGGGGGCGGGGCTGGCTGGCATGTGGTGCTGGGGGATTGAACCGTGATCCCTGTGCTTTGCTAAGCTTGTTCTAAGTAGGTGCTTTAGACCACTGAGCCATCTCACCAGCCCCCTGATTCAGTTTCTAAAACCGAAGATTTTTCATTTTCTAGAGCTAATACAAATAAATTAATATACAGTACATGTTTTAGTCTGACTGTTTTGACTATGAATTATTTTGAGATGTATACATATTGCTTTTGTCAAAAGTGTGTGCTTATTAGTGCCTAGTATTTTATTCTGTGAATACATACAATCTATTCTCTCTCTCTTTTTTATATATTTAGTAGGAGGTCTACAGGGTCTCACTACACAGATAGGACTTGTGGTGATCTTCCTGTTTTCAGCTACCCAGTGCTGGGATTACAGGCGTGTGCCCCCATGACCAGACTCGGTTACTAGCTAAGCGCACCCCAGGGGCAGGGCTGGTGTGGCATGTGGAACTGGGATTGAACCCTGGTCCTTGTCCTTGCCAAAGTAGGCACTTAGTCCACTGAGCTATCTTGCCGGCTCCACAATCTACTGTCTATTAATGACACTTGAAATATTTTCAGTTTTTTATCATTACAAGCAAGGCTTCAGTACAAATTTATGTACATATTTAAGTTTTTTTTTTAAAAAAAGGGCCTCACTATATACTTCAAGCTGGCCTTGAACTTACTGTGTAGTCCAGGCTGTCACTGCATCCCCTGCAAACCTCCTGCCTCAGCCTCCCCAGGGCTGGGATTATAATTATGCACCACCATGCCCAGCTAAGAGATGTGACTCTGAAAGATAGGAAGTTCTTAATTTTGATGAGGTTCAATTTTTAATGGATTTTGAAATTCAAGCATATTAATTATACAAAATACAGTAGTGGGCTTTGTTTCAGTGTATTTGTACATGCATATAATACGCTCAGACCATTTCAACACTCCCGTTATCTTCTTGGCTGTCATCATTTCTTCTTGTCTGACAGTCTCCATCCTAGTGGAGGTGCCTGCACATTATGTTTTGCATAATTGGAAATAGCTAAGATGGGAATACCAAAAATCTCTGGCAGCAACAGACAAACGAATAAAGAAAATACACAATGATTCATTATATTGCCCTAAACAAGATGAAAAATGTCATCTGCAGGAAAGTGGATGGAAGTGGAGCTCATACTGTTCAGAGAAATAAATGAATATAGCTGATTTAAATACTATCTCTATTTATAGCTTTTTTAGAAACCTTCACACTGATTTTCATAATGTCTCTGCTAATTCATATTTTCATTAATAGTGTAGAAGTATCCTTTTCTTCTGTATCCTTGCCAGCATTTATTGTTTGCTGTTTCTTTGGGGTTTTTTTTCTATATTTTAAGGAAGGGTCTACAGGGCGTTCAGGGTCTCACTACTAGAATGGACTCATAGTGATTCTTCTGTTTACAGCCTTCCAAGTGCTAGGATTACAGGCGCACACCACGCCTAGTCTGAATTGCTGTCTCAGCACCCCCTGGGGGCAGGGCCAGCATGGCAGGCATGGGGTCAAATCCCTGGCCCCTGCACCAGCTTGCAAAGTGCTTTAATCTACTGAGCTATTTGGCCAGCCCTTCATATACTTTTAGAAGTGTCTGTTCAGTTTATTTGCCCATTTATTGATTGGGTCACTTGTTCTCTGGTGTTTTTTTAAAATTTATTTATATATTCTGGATACTATGTCAGAATAGCTAACCAAGAATTTCTATCTAATGTCTCTTTATTATGTTCATTATTTTTGCTCTTTTGAGACAGGGTCTCACTGTATAGTCCAGGCTGGGCTTGAACTCACTATGTAGCTCAGGCTGGCCTCAAACTCACCTCAGTCCTCCTGCTTCAGCCTTCTGAGTGCTGGGATTATAGGTGTGTACCCCATCTGGCTATGTTCATTGTTTCCTTTGCTGTGCACGATCTTCTTAATTTGATGTGATTCTATTTATTGATTCTTGTCATTTCCTGTGCTATTGGGATTCTAATAAGGAGCCTTGCCTGGACTTAGGAGGTATTTTTCATGTGTTGTCTTCCAGAAGACAGGACATACTCTTAGGTTTTTCATCCCCTTTGAGTTGATCCAAGGTAAGAGGTTAGGCTGTAGTTTCAGTCGTCTATATACAGATTTCCAGTTTTTTCTGTGCTACTTATTAAAGAGGTTTTTCCTCCAATGTACATTTTTTACCTGTTTGTCAAGAATTAGATGACTGTAGGGCTAGGGAGATAGCTCAGTGGAATACATGCTTGCCTGCAAACTCAAGGTACTGAGTTTGATCCCTGATACCACCAAAAAAAAAAAAAAAAAAAAAGAAACTGTCCTACAATGAATGTAATAATTCAGTACTGCAAACATGTACTAATAAAAAAAAGAAAGAAAAAAAAGAAACAGATGACCATAGTTGTGTGGGTTTGTTTCTTCACTCTCTATTCTATTCCTTGGTCTATATATCTATTTTTTATTCCAGTATCATGCTGGGTTTTGTTTTGTTCTGACTACAGCCTTGTAGTATACTTTAAAATGAGGTACTATGATACCGCTAACATGGTTGCTTTTGCTTAGGATTGCTTTGATTATTCTGGGTCTTTTGTGATTCCATATGAATTTTAAGATTTTTTTTTCCCAAATCCTTGAAGAATATCATTGGTATTTTGATGGGGATTTAACTGAATCTGTAGACTAGTTTGGGTAGCATGACCATTTAAGAATTTAAATCTGCCAGTTATAAACAATGGAGATTTTTCTAGTCTTTTAGTGTCTAATTCAATTTCTTCCTTCAGTGTACTATAATTCTCATTCTTTCACCTCCTTGATTAGGCTCATTCCTAGATTTTTTTTCTTTTAAAACTATTGTGAATGGAATTGTTTTCCAAATGTCTTTCTCAGTGGTTCATATTGCATAAAAAAGCTTTTGATTTTTGTATGGTGACTTTATGTGCTACCACTTTGCTGAATTTTTTTCTCAGATCTGAAAGTCTTTTGTTGAAGTTTTTGGTAAGTAAAGGATCATTTCTTCTAAGTAAAAGATCATTTCATTTGTGAATAGGGATAATTTGACTTCTTCCTTTCCTATAGGCACCTTTTTTTATTTGTTTTGTCTTATTTTATTGAACAAGTGGTGAGAGTGAGTACCCTTGTTTTATTCCTGATTTCAGAAAAGTGCTTCCTGTTTTTACTTTCCAGTATGGTGTTGGTTATGGTTTTACTTTACTGAGCTTTCATTATATTTAGGCAATCTCCTACTATCTCTAATTTCCTTGGTATATACATCATGAGTGGATGGTGAATTTTGTCAACAGCTTTCCTGGGATCTGTTGAGATGATCACGTGATTTTTATTCTTCTATTTGTGGTGTTCACTCTTACCAGTGCCATTCAATATGATGATTAAAGCTTTCACTTAACTTTAGCCAAAGTTTTAGGGAAGAGGACAAAATAAAGGGAGTCCAAATACAGAAAAAAAAAATCAAATTATCCGTATCTTATTTATTTATTTATTTATTTATTTATTTATTTATTTTGCAGAACTGGGGATTGAACTCAGGCCCTTGCGCTTGCCAGGCAAGTGCTTGTTCTACTGAGCTATCTCCCCTGCCCCATATTTATTGATTTGTATATGTAACTCATCCTTTCATCCCCAAATGAAGCCAATTTAATCATGGCATATTATTTTTTTATTTGCAGTAATTTTTTTGAAAATGTACTAAAATTTAATCATCCATAAAAGCTGTAATTTAATCTGACAGTAAAACACAAGAAGCAATATTAGAGGTGGTTTAGTATGTTATATATTTTAGCTTTGAAAGCCATAGAAATCAGTTATCCCATTTTTTTTCCTATAAAAGACCCATTTTTCCAAAGCATTATGCACAATTTTAATTAGGATATGACAGATGATATTTCATAATTTTTAAATATAAAATGAAATCAATGAGTCAAAAAAGTTACCTGCTGCAATGAGTTGAAGAAAAATTTCATGATTGATATCATTACAGATATAAAGTATAATAGTTCAACTTTTTAGTGCTTGACAGGGAGGAATCATGATAAAAAGATCAATATGAAATCATTTGATTATAGTAGCAATACCTAACATTGGAAATGCATCCATGCTCTTGTATAATCCTATTAGAGTCAAGTATATTTATTTTCACATCTGTTATAACTGCTATTGCAAAAGAGAAACACTATTGTCTTATTTTCCAAGAGATATACACAAAGCAATTTTTTTCTCCTGGGAACTTGTGCAAACCAATATAATATCTAAATTCTTCACATAATATATAAAACAGGAGAAGCCTCTTTGGATTTATATTTTGAAGTCTGGAATGCTGGCACTTTCCCATTAGGCAACAGTTCTTCATTCCTATAATCTGGCTCAGAGCTGCTGCTGACTTTAGGTCTAGAGCAGCAGACATGATTTCTTTTTAGGCTTCTTCTTTTCCACTGGTGTTTTTCTATTTATTTGTCTGACCAGGTCATAAAATGTCTCATTAACATTGATCTTTGACTTTGCAGAAGATTCTAAAAAGGCACAGTTACACCACTGTCTTGCTGAATTCTGGCCCTGTTCTTTGCCAACTACTCGCTCATCTTCCAGGTCATATTTATTGCCAACCAAAATCATTGGAACATCTTCTGTGTCCTTAACCCGTGAAATCTGTTCCCTTAAATCCTGTAAATCATTAAATGTGGACTGAGCTGTAATAGAATATACTAATGCAAACCCTTGGTCATTCTTCATATAAAATCCCTCATAGCTGTAAATTGTTCATGCTTACTGTCCCTGCTGTATCCAGGATTTCCAGCATACACTGTTGGCAATCTACTTCAACTTGCTTTCCGTAGGAATCTTCTATCGTTGGGTCGTATTTTTCAACAAAAATTCCTTGAACAAACTGAACTGTCAGAGCAGACTTTCCCACGCCTCCTGAACCAAGGACCACTAGCTTGTACTCACGCATGATGTGGTCTGTTTAAATACTGACAAGCCCCGGGGTCCAACGTCTCCTCCCCCTCCCCCTCCCCCTCCTCCTCCCTCCTCTCGGCCGTGGCTCCGGCTCGGGCTCGGGCTCGGGCTCGGGCTCGGGCTCTGCGCGGTGACGGCGACGGCGGCTTATTTGCAGTAATTTTATTGAGGAATTTTTAAATCTGTGTTTATCAAAGATTTGGTCTGTAGCTTTTCTTTTTTTGAATTTTTATTTGGGTTTGGTATCAAGGCAATACTGGCTTTGTAGAATGAATTTGAAAGCATCCCTTCATTTTTTATTTCATGAAATAATTTGAAGAGCACTGATTTTAGTTCTTATTTAAAGGTCTGGTAAAATTCAGCAATAAATTCATATGGTCCTAGATTTTTCTTTTTGGGAGACTTTCTATTGTTGCTTCAATTTCATTGCTTGTTATTGATCTGTTTAGATGTTTTATGTCCTCTAGGTTCAACTTTGGTATGTTGTGTGTAGAAACGTATTCCTTTCTGCTAGATTTTTCAACTTATTGGAATACAAGTTTCAAAATCGCTTCTAGGGCCTGGGAGATGGCTCAGTGGAATAAGCATTTCCGTGGCAAACGCAAGGGCCTGAGTTCAATCCCTGATTCCGCCAAAATCTCTTCTAATGATATTATGGATTTCAGTAGTGTTTGTATACTATCCTTCCTTTTTCCTTGTTAGTTATAGATTAATGGTCTTCATTTTGGCAGATTTCATGTGCATGTAACATACTTTGATCACTTTTACTTCCCATCACCTCTTTGCTCTCCTTCCCCCATTCACATTTTTGGGGGCAAGTTCCAATGCATGTATTTTTCTGATACCCATCCCCCTGCCCTTACAACCGCTTTTCCTCCCACCTTCTCCCTCTTATCTTTTTTTTTTTCAGAAGGAAATAAATAATTAATATAAAACAATCTCTAATTTTTGTGTACTTCCTTTTCTTTGTGGAGGAGACAGGGTCTCACAGTGTACTCCAGGCTGGCCTTGAACTTGCAGCAATCTTCCTGCCTCAGTCTCTTGAGTGCTGGAATTATGCTACCATGCCCGGGCAGTATTTCTGTTTAGTTGTTCTTAGTCATCCTTTAGATCTTGACTTAAGTGTCAGTTTCTCAGTTGGGCCTTCCCTGACATTCATTCTAAGTTAAATAATTCATTATTTATTATTTGGGATTGAACCCAGGGCCTCACCTACCTGTACATACATTCTACCATTGAGTTATGCTCTTACCCACTCACCTCCTTATTTATTACTCATGTTTGGGCAAACTTTCTTTCTTGTTTTATTTGAAATAAGATAACTGATATCTTTGCCAAGAAATTCTTCAACTCATTATCCTTCTGCTGTTGGCACTTTCTGAAGAAGCTCTGAAAGTCTTCTTTCATTGGTGTCTTTATTTATCCTGTCCTAGCTCCTTCAATGTTCTGAATTCTTCTAAGCATCTAATTTCCATAGTCATTTTGACTTTAGGGAAAAGCCAGAAGTCGCACAGTGACTAACTCCTGCTAGGTCCTTTTATGTCCTTTTGTACTTTTTTCAGATAAGGTGATAGAAGGTAAGTCAAGGTAAAATACGTTTCCCTAGAATGGATTATATTTGGATTTTGCTGATGTTTTTACTTTTAAGCAATTTCGAGTATGACTTCTTCCTTTCATTTTTGACTTGCATTCCAACCAGGAACAGCCCTTGGCTTATATTGCTGCCAGTGTTGCCTGGGTCCTCTGTTAAGCCCTCTACTTACTAACCCTTTGCTAGTGATTTCAGGTAAACAAATGAAGGAATCCCTATCAGAGAAAGGCAAGACTCTACTGTCACACTAGAAATAAGGCTGTAACTTGTTCCACGATTGGGGCTTTTATTTGTAGAAAGCAACACATATGTCCTGTTTTTAACCTGAAGCTGAGAGTACTTTCAGAATATACCAAACTAGTTTACTTAGGGGACTTAAAAGTACCCCATGATTTCTACTCCTACTCTTACTAGTGTCTTAATATTCTTTATTAAAACTCCCTCCTCTCCTTCCTGTCCCCTCTTCTCTCTCCTCCTCTTCCCCTTCTTCTTCCTTTTCCTCCTCTTCTTCTTTTTCCTTCTCATCCTCCTCCTCCCCCTCCTCCTACTCCTCACAGGAGGTTCTCTTACATGCTAAGCAAGTGCTCTACCACTGAGCTGTGGCCTCATGTCTTTTATATTTATTTTCTTTTGAGACAGGATCTCAGTAAGTTGCCCAGCCTAGGTTTGAACATATTATTCTCCTGTCTTGGCCCCCAACAGGTATGTACCATGCCTGGCCATTAAGGTTATCTTAATGTCATTTTATTTATTTATTATTTAATTTAATTTAATTTATTTATTTATTTGGTATAGGATCTCACTATGCAGCTCAGACTCATAGTGATCCTCCTGTCTCAGCCTCCCCAGCTCTGGGATTACAGGGCTGTGCCACCATGCCTGGTTTCAGTGGCTGGCTTTGTGCCTGGGGCCAGCATGGCATGTGGTACTGGAAATCAAACCTGCATCCTTGCAATTGACAGGCAGGTGCTCAGACTTAATTTTATTTTAAAGGGAAATAAGCCCCAAAATTCAAAACAATAGGACAGTAACAATGGTTAACACATTGCATATTGTTATCTTTAAATTACTCAGAGTACAAGATACAGGAATTTAATTGTCCAAATAATGTTTACAGAAACCTTTCTTTTCAATAAATTAAGAGAAATTAGTGATATAACTCTTTTGACTATTATATATATGTATATATTCTCTCTATATATTCTCTTCCTTCATGTCTCCTTTCCCCACCCCAGTTCCTCTTTCCTCCTGAACAATTTCTTCCTATTTCATGATATCTGTTGTACATTTGGGTCTGTCTTACTCTTTCAGCTTCTCACGCCAGGGAGACAATACAATATTTACACATACAGGTCTTATTTATTTCACTTATGAGTGCAGTCTCTACTTGCATCCATTTATCTATAAAAGCCTTGTTTATATTTCTTTACAGCTGAGTAATGCTCCATTGTATTGAAATACTACATCTTTTTTATCCATTCTGCAGTTAATGGGCATTTGGGTTGTTCCATGATTTGGCTGTGGCAAACTGTTCTGCTATAAACATGGGTGCACATAAATTGCTGTGGTATGATGTTTGCAATTCTTCTGGGAAAAATACACGGAAGGGAAATATCTAGGTGGAATGGGACCTTAATCCTAGTTTTTTGAGGAGTCTCCACACTGATTTCCACAGTGGTGGCAGCAATCTACACTTCTACCAACAGTGGAAAAGGATTCTTTTTCCCCCACAGCCTCTCCAGCATCTGTTTTTGGTTGATTTCTTGATAATAGTCATTCTTTCTGGAGTAAGATGGAATTTCAGTATTGTTTTAATTTTCATCTCTCAAATGACCAGTGATGTTGAACATTTTTTCTTATATTTATTTGATGTTTGTATTCATCTGAGAGTGTGTATTCAGATCAGATGCCCATTTTGGGATTGGAGCTTTAAACTTGGGAGGTCTGATATTTTTGAGTTCTTTATATGTTGTTGATAGTAATTTTTTGTTTGAGGAACAACTGGCAAACATTTTTTCCCACCTTATGGATTGTCTCTTCACTCTGTTGGTGGTTTCTCTTGCTGTGCAAAAGCTTTTTGTTAGGCTGAGATCCCAGTTGTTGATTTTTTGTGATAGTTCCTGTGCAATCAGGGTTTTATTCATAAATTCTTTTCTTAATTTTCAATTTATCACTGTCTTCCCCTCATCTCCTAGACTACCTCTATGATACAAGAATCTTTATGGCATCAGACTGAGAATTGAAGGAAAACCTGCTTGGCTCTGTGGAAAACTTACTTGTTTATTTATTTATTTTTTAAACTTATTTATTTTTATAAAAGTTATTTATCACTGTAAAACTTTCATCAAAAAATTCCTAGTGAATTCTTCCCTGTCAGAAATTTTATGATAGTATTTCCAGGGTCTCAGAAGTTTATATGAAATTGAGTAGAACCTGTTTCATAGTATATACATTCAAGTAGACAATGATGGATTAACTCAGAGGAGAAAGAATGTATTAGGACAGACCATTTGGTTGTTAGTAAGTTCAACAATTCTTCTGCATCTTGTTTATGGCACTTTATGATACTTTGTCACATTGCAACCCAGAGTTCAAACCTCATCAATAAGGGATAATATGAGTTAGGTCTATCGCCACTGAAAGTAACTTTTGAACAAATATTTAAACTCGACTAATATCTGAAAGGTTCCTTAGGGACAGTGGTGGAATGGAGGCTTGTAATTGCATAAAAAGAGCACCCTTTGCCAACGCTGCATCCATTTGCAACATGCAGAACTGATGACTATCACTGAAGTTGCTATAGTGGGAGCTTTATGCCATGGATATCAGCAATGCTATAAAGCAGGGCCGGTCTCTCTCTCTCTCTCTCTCTCTCTCTCTCTCTCTCTCTCTCTCTCTCTC